GCGCCTGAAGGCAGGACAAGAAGCAACGGGTGGAAACTGATCAAGGAGAGAAGCAACTTAGAACTAAGGAGAAACTTCCTGACAGTTAGAACAATTAACCAATGGAACAACCTGCCTCCAGAAGTGGTGAATGCTCCAACACTGGAAGTTTTTAAGAAGAGACTGGACAGCCGTTTGTCTGAAATGGTGTAGGGTTCCTTCCTGGGCAGGGGGTTGGACTCGATGACCTCCAAGGTCCCTTCCAACTTTATTATTATTATTATTATTATTAACTTCAAAAATGATTCAGCCTGAGAAACCAAATTAATTTTTCTTATTAGAGAATGTTAATGGGCAAAGTAGATGCCTTAAATACTATTCTTATCATCTAAACTCTCCTTCTCTACACTCCATCCCCAAATAATAGTAAATTCTATACCATCTATTTGAACAGCATAATAACATCATTGTTCATACTCCCTGTTGTTCTAGTAGGCCAAAAATATTAAAAGTGTGGCTTCCAGCTTTCTCTTCCTCCCCAGATGAAAGGAAAAATAAGGATCTGAAGAAGTGTTTGGTGTCTGGGCTTTGTTGTTATTCTTTCTTTTTTCAATCTAACCTTTTGTTCCTTTGTATCTTTTCAAAATTTATATTGTGAAGTCCCAGGTTTACATTATACAGTATACTGATATATTATTCCCCCTTGCACTGTATACACAGTCTGTATAAATAGTAAGAAAGGTATAAATTTAATTTATATAGCAACAAGATATTTCCAATACTTACGTAAATGTGGGTTCATTGGAGCTATAAAAGAAAAAGATAAGATTCTAAAATTAATAAGTTTTTTGTGCACACTGATAGTTGTTTTGTATCTGATTTTCCAGCTATTTGTGCCATTCCATCAGGTTTGGACAACTATTAGGCTTATAAACTCTAACAGAAGAGAATAGTTGTAGCTCAGGGTTGAAATGAGGGGTCCTTGATATTCTCTGAAATGGCTGTTGTTGTTGTTGTTGTTGTTTTGCAGACATATCATTACTTAAACTAGGTAACATCATTAATGCTAGTCAGGAGTGGGGTTTGCTCTCATTTTATATTCTAGTGGCTAGAGAACACACTCAGCTAGAGAATACACATGAAATCTTTAACAACGTCTTCAAAGGACTCAAATTCACAAGGGAAGAAAAAAAAGAAAAAGATGCTACTCTTCCTGGATATCCTTATCAGCAGAGACTCTGATGGCAAACTAGAAACACGAGTCTACTGAAAAGCCACCCACACCAACCAAGTGCTCCCCTACCAAAGCAATAATTCAATCTTCCTCAAGAGAAGCTGTGTAAGAACATTATTTAGATGAGCAACAAACACACTGCAGCTATGCTGAACATCAGGGAAAGGAAACAGATCAACTATACAACATCTTCCAAAAAAATGAATATCCACACAATTTCATCAAAAAGTGCTTGACTACTCAACCCAATATAGCACAACCAACCCAAGCTGTAAAATGGACAACACTGCCATACATCAAAAAACATCTCAGAAACCACCAACAGCCTATTATAATCACAAACCAACTAAAGCCCTCCAAAACATCCTAAGTAAACCAAAAGACCCAGCAGCCTCAAAAGAAAAAAGGAGGAGAAAACAGGAGTCAATATAACATACAGTGTAAGGACTGCAACAACCACTATGTAGGATGAATTGGGATAAGACTAGCAGAACACATCCATGAAGACCTTCTAACAGTCAGAAGACTCTTTTATTTCACAACACATGAACAGACGTAACCAAATGGTTTCAATTTGTCACCATTCTAGATCAAACCTAGTCCCACTAACAGTGACAGGATAAGCCACTAGACTATAACATGAGAGCAAACTCTACTCCCAATTAGTACTGATGATGTTACCTAGTTTGGGTAATGAAACTGCAACAAAACAACCAAGCTTGGAGAGCACCATGAATAAACTCTGTTTTGTATTGTAGCTAGTCATCCAGCCTTTTAGCCCAGGTGCAAAATAATCCTTTAAGAATTCCTTGGATTCCTCTAGGAATGAAAACCGCTGTACTTTCCTGCAACACTTCTCTCCTGATTATGCCTAGCTTTCTTTATTCCACCAGTATAATAATTTAGGTTGGGAGAGTCTTTGAGTTGCAGATACTGTTAAATAATAAAGAGTTAAAAAAAACATACATTTTCTTTCCAGCTCTGATTTACATTTCAAATTATTTTTCTCATATCTTAACAAATGGTATTCTAAATTTTCTAATTCTGTCCCTTATAGATTTTCCTTAAAGCAAAACATGTAAAAATATTTATAGAATTTTATATTTGTTTTGTTTGGTAAGAAGCAGGAGATATACAATTATAAGGTCTTTT